CGAGTACAAGTTTCATAGCAAATTATCTGGTTGTCACCATTTTGGAAATAACTCGGCCAGCTCCCATGCATACGGGGTGTCCGATACTTCGCGCCTAGGAGCCCCAATATATTATTCACTGACTCACGCTGAGACGAGAATGGCCCTTGGCAACATTTCGACCTACACAAGCTTCGCTGAAAACGCCCTTATGACGAACATTATACTCTGTGTTACTGCAGCAACACACGAGTCATTTTCCTTTGCTCGTAGTGTTGTATCGTAGCATCCTGTTGCAGTTGGTATTAGAGTTTATTTGTGATTGTTCTCAGTATTTTCAGATGTTATCATGTCGCACTGCACATTTGATGGATAACAGGCATACCACAAAAACACAATGCATGTGTCATTGAAAGAGGAACTAGGAGTACATGGACTTCGTTTTAAAACACTGTAAATACGAAAGTACCAATCGCAGGAGAGCGGAAAGCACAGCAGTTCCCCCCAATTTCAACGCATCTGATGAGTAAGCCGAGACATGTAATGCAGTGACGAATTTAAAAAAGGATTTAATTTTAAATCTTGCTATTGTTGCACCATGGATGGTTAAACAACTGGAAATAAACCCTTTGGTTCACTTTTGTTCCTAGAGCTGGTAGTCGTTTACTTTCATTGCGGCTGGGACCAGTCTCTACCGGAAGGGTGTACAGAAAACGAAAGTGGCGCTAAACTGGGTTAGCGAAAGCCTGTTTCAACCAGAGTAATGTCTTCCTCGATTCGAGGCCCGAAGTTGTGAGCCTCTCATGATCCCGAGCAACTTAACGGAGATCTGAGCTTCTCATGGCGATGATTTCCAAGACAGACGGTTTTATGGGCATGGAAACGGTAGGGATTTTTTTCAAAGGGGGGGGGAGACCAGTTTTCCGAGGGGGTTCAGCTAGAAAAATACATTTAGAAAGCTACGTTTACTTTGTTTAGGACTATTTTTAATGGCCGCCCTACGGTAGGGGCTCGGCAACGGACGGCCCACATGTGGCCCGTGGGCCCTTCTTTTTTTAGGCTAGTTTTCGAATTTTGAAAAACCAAAAATATAAAGCTGCCTTAAAAATATAGTTGTTAACATTCTGCAAGGCCAATGACATTTGCCGAGGCATGAAACGGCTTCGCTCGCTCGATCACTGGGATCGTGGGTTCGAAACCCACTCAAGGCATAGATGTTTGTCTGAGTTTATTCTGCATTTGTGCTTTTCTTTGTAGGTAGCGGCCTTGCGGTGGGCTCATCTATCGTCCAAGGAGCCTACCAACTGCCTAAGATTAAGAAACTGAAGTGAAATAAAGAGCTTCACGGATGCCCTATGCTCCAAGTGGGGGCAACAGGAACACAGAAAGATAGGTAGAAGAATGTTCTGCATCCAGAAATATCTATAAAACTGCAACAAAAATTTTGTGTAGACCATGTAGTAAATATGCCGCAACACCTGTGTTCTATTTTTTAGTCTTTCTTTATCCGTAGTCGTGTGCCCGCGTTGCGAAAGTGGAAGTTAAATGCGGCCCGCCAGTGTCAAATAATTATCTACTCCTGCCCTAGAGCATTTAGGATAGAAGAGTATATGTCAAATGCTTTTAAATTTATTATTAATACTTGAAATGTATCCTTCTTTTCTCAAATTTTGATTTTATTTTTTCAAAATCCAGGGGGAAAGACCCCTAATTTTCCTCGCCTTCCCCCAAAACTGGCGCCCATGCTTCTGGGATGTGATGATAATTTGATACACATGTACCAACATTTCGGAGGAACCTATCTACCAAACTAGACGGCGTCACATACTAGACGACAGCCCTTTTAAGTTAACAGAGACATCGGAAATGTTCCAAAGCTCAAAAGGGGGACAGAGTGGGGTACAGACTCCTAAGCCCAACCTAATGCTATATATTAAGGTAAAAATATAAAGCTATCCCTGTGACAGGCCACAGAGGCCTATAAGGTTGTGAAACATCGAGGCTCCCACATTTTCTATACTGTCGGTTCACAGATGGCGGTAAGGTTGTCAGCCTCACGCGGCGGCCGTCTTTTACCCCCCAAAAAAATCTGCTTCTCATTTCTGTCAGACGTTGAGTCGACCCCAGGGTCACTAGTGCTGCCAGAAGGATTAGATCAATTGAAAAACCCAATGGCCTCATTGGGAATCAAACCCGCGGCCTTCCGGCTTGTATCATAGTGCCCGAACCAACTACGCTACCGCGTGCCCCGCTGTATGTTAACTAACTAATTAAATCTCTGTTAGTCAAACCTGAAGGTTCAGCATCTCTAATATTGAAGCACACCAGTGGAAAAACTTCTGAGCCAGTTTCATGCCCCTTCCGTCCCATGCATCTCCCTCAAGATCTGCTGTTTGTCTAAAGCATTTTGTTTTCCTTGGCACTACAGCCCCAGTGGGCCTAGGCCTACCTCCATGAACTTCTCCGTTCACTTAAAGTTTTTCTAGATCTTACACATTCGGTAGGACTCCTTGGGCGAGTGATCAGCTCGTCGCAAGGCCTCTACCTGTACACAAACACAGAAAAACGCACACACGCGAACCCACGATCCCGACTTCCGAGCGAGCGAAGACGGTGCATGCCTTAGACCGCCCAAAGCGTTTTTTAGGTAACGTCATATTCCCCGAGAACGTCCTTTCCATATGCGTACTTTTGTATGCCTTCCTACTATTCCTGATATTCTCATCTCATTTGTTGATGTGTCTCCTCAGAAGTTGAGATGATTCACGTGAACTATCCAAGAATCGACCAGATTGTGTATGAATGAGCCAATACGGTATCAACACCGAAATGTAGACCTACACAATGCATACTAGTTATCGTGTTCAAATTTGCAGTACACGTCCACATATTCTTTTCTGGCGAAATATTTAGTTTATGCTGAAGATATATTAGCAGAATTCTATGTAAATACCCTGATACTTGTAAATAGGAACTAGTCATAATAATTAAGCATAGACTATTTGGCCTATAAGTCTTCCTTTCGAAAATGCGATTGACTTTTATTGCAAATGATCTTCAGTTTACTTATATGTTGATTTCCAGTGTTTCTACAGAGACAGCAGATTTATAAAATTTTTAGTTGCATCAGATTTTCAGATAATATTGCAAACAGATTTCATTACATTTTCTTAGCCCCGTGACAAGATGCGTCAAGTCTGTAAAGGGGGTGAGGAGGAGAAGAGGAAGAGGAAGAGGAAGAGGAAGAGGAAGAAGAAGAAGAAGAAGAAGAAGAAGAAGAAGAAGAAGAAGAAGAAGAAGAAGAAAGAGAGACACTACTAGAAATTTCGTTGGAAAAATGCGTGCTCAATAACTTTCTTACACATAACAGCATAATGCTTTTACACGTTCCCTCTTTAAAACGTACAGAGCAATGAGCTCTTACGCGCGGTTTAAAATAATATGCCCAGACTTTAGGAAGTTGTTCGTGAGATAATCTGGAGCGGAAAATGAATATAAATTGATCGATTCATTATTATCGTCGAGTTATGACGTGTCGTTATATTTTAAGAAAATGAAATAATTGTCAATTCGTCTATACATTGTTATTTATTTACATTTAACGCCGCATATTTACTTTTAATTAAAATGAATGACCTGCAAAAATTCCATGGTCATTAGCTCTTTCCGATTTGCATTCTGCATTACGTTTAAAGCAAATGTCTGGTTGTGCATATAAGATATACCACACGCAGTTAACAATGTCTAGCATAGTACGAGTATATGTTTCGTGAATAGTGTCACAAACATTTAGGGTATCAATATGCAGAGGGGCGGACAACCTAAACTACAACTACATAATATTTCCCTCGTGGCATGTCCTTAACAGATCAAAATATTTTCCATGCTTATATGGAAGCAAAACAATTCTAACACAGCTGTTTATATGATACATACCTGTAACGTTATATAACATACATAACCCGCTTCTTTTTCGAAACTATTTTCTGGTAATTTATGCTATAATTTTACTCAAGTGTCAGGTGTATGACGTTTGAAAATATTCCGGTACGCATCAACTGACAACGGTTTGCGTACTGGCTGAAAAAAAAAACGTGCCCATATATACCATCAGCGTTCATTATGGTGATACACGGCGATACACGCCTCCATCGCTTTTTAAATTACGTCAAGCGATCACAGTGCAAGTTGATGATAATAATACAAATTTCCTGAATGTACTCTTTAAATTTAATCGTGAATCTCCTTAGGCTATGTGATTTTTAATTCCTTTGTGTGTGTGCGTGTATACGACAGAATACTGTGGAATATCTTAACCACTACAATGTTAGTGTAATATCACTGGCTCTTATTTCGTACCATATTGCTGTGACTACATAGTATAGAGTTTCTCTTGAACACCTTTTCATGGAAGTCCAAGGTTCAGTGCCATCATCACAAAACCCCGCTACTGGATCCTTTTCATAGACTATTTTCTTAAAACCATTTTAATATCAAATTCCCATCTGACCTGGGTCTCACAAGGGGGCTGTTCCCTATAGATTTCCCATCGAAAATTAGCTAGATATTTCTTGTTTTGCAGTGAACTCTTCGCGCCCCACTCCTGTCAATCCTGCTCAGCAATCACCCTGGAAATGTTACGTGAAGAATGCGGGAAATGAACATAAATAATATTTATTATATTTTTCGTAAGCATGTGTTGGCAAAGAATACAATATTATTTGTAGTGCTCTGCACAAGAGGATGCAACAAAATATTGAACAGAAATAGCTCCCCATTCTATAGCTTTTCTCACATCTCTCACTAACACCCTCAATCTTCGAAGAATACGACGTTCTAGGCTGCAGCGTCATGCACTCGTAGTTGGGTAGAAGTCCGCCGACGTTTTGAGGAATGTATCACCTCCGTCTTTAGGGTCGTAAGCCACGCAAGAAACATCGATGGATTACCGAACTACATTGAGTTACTGTATCAGTGACAGCCATGAAAGCCCCCAAATCCAGCCTTCAGTCCTCACTCACCTTTCTGCTCGTCCATGCTGCCACTACTGCTTTCCTCCGCAGAGTCCGTCAGCTCTAGAATGTCCACGGACACTGCCTCGTCCCGACGAACTCTCTCGCCGTCCCACATGTTGGACACTGAGACTGCGGTCCCCTGCTCCCCGACTCCTTTCCGTGCGCGCCCCACCGATCCCTGCCGGGCAAAATTCGAATATGCAGAACCCCCACACAGGAATATATATACCTTCACACCGCGTTTAGAAAGTCGCCGATCTCCTGCAAGGAAAAGAAGCAGAAGTAACCGTGGAATGGATGAGATCTGAAAATTGAGATGCGATCTTCTGGGTTATGCCGTCGTGTAATTTCGTGTGGGGTTTGTGACGATTTGAAGGATACTGTTGCTACCATCTTCAGGGTAGAAGTTCACATCAGTTTTCTAATTATGATTTCGTGCTGTTTCTTAGGCGGTTAATAAAGTTTCGAAGGAATTTACAGCATATATCTTAGGAGTAGAAGGTATCTTATATTCAATTGTTTTCTGCATTATGACGTAATTCTTCGAGGTAGGCCACTTATACTCTAAGAATAGAAGCGGCTGGTTCCTTCGTAAAGTTGCTAACCAGCCAGGAAATTACACGGTGTTATAACCCAGAAGATCGCAATCATAACTGTACAATTGCAACAAAATACTGACTACAAGAAATAGACTTATCATAGTTCCTTGTTAATTTACCATAGAACGATATTAGCTTACGGAAACTGGTCGTTGTACTTATTTTTCGTGTACTCGGTTGAGATATATCTCGTACAGATGGGTGAAAGGAAGTTTGGAAATCATCGATTTAGAATACTTTCAATTTGTCACGTAATTCAGTAAGAAAAATATAATGTCCTTACGTCACTTGTTGTGGTATTATGCCTGCAGCGTACATAGCTACTTCTGACAATACCTTATGGGAGGTCATGACCTTCAACGTCACCTGATGTTTTCACAATCCTACTGTCAAGTGGGAACTTGGCCGCCGTACAAACAAACGTTCGATGTGGGACCTGCAATAAGCTCTTGTACCCAATCCTGTCCCATTTCAATACAATAGATATTGCTAAAAATGTACTTCATGTAACAAACCTCCACGAATAATTGACCTCGGCATTAGGTTCACGCTTCGGCCATCTGGCCTTGTACCTGCTGGATAGGAGACAATGTAACGGAGCGCCATTTTGGACCTATACAGGTCTAATTTCAAACAAGAACGCTTTCTTTGTAATATTCCGTCAATTCATTAAATAACTCCAACTCTGACATTATGTGTACCTTGGCGTGAAAGCAAAATCGAATGTCGGCCATCCAGTCCTTAGCAATATGGAGGCGGCATATTCCTCCGATAGGTCGGTATCTGCTCACAAAACTACATGTTGGCATAACCTGTCCTGTTGTAACTACATTAAATGGCTCCTGCTGCGTATCTCCTCGTTTTCTATAGCAACCATTTTTCACTTCAATTTTATTCATTCTTTTTAGTCAAACTATTGACACTGGATAAGTCTTATATACATATGTAAAAATAACATATATATGTGATCTACGTTCCTTCGTACTACGACGCCATACAGATCAAATCCGTAAAACAAGCCAATTCAAGTATCACATTCCGCTAATTTAACACAACATACATTCATGTACAGAGTATATGTTTATTGTAATAGGAATAAACTGCCTCATTTTTCCACTTTCATAAATTTACTTAGTAATTTATTGCATAATTTTGTTCCCATATTCATTACACCTTTCTTGAAGACGTGTTCTACAAAACATGAACATTGAGGTCCGACATTTAACATGTATTATTATGATTCTGGTTTGCAGTGTTTCACTCCAGTTTCTTTATATGTAGTTTTACGCTGTTCATGGAATTACTATTTCTTCTGCAAGATTAAAATGTCGGAGCCGATATAGTGACTGGCTACGGTAAGGTTGGATTTCGAGTACGGTCAAGTCAGTCAAAGTCATGTTAGAACGGACGGTCAGTCAGTCATTCTGCCTTGGTGTCGAGCCCCAGCTTCGAGTACGGGTAGGGTTAAGAATTCTCTTTACCAAGTCATCCTACCCAGCCTCCTATCCAATAGGAACCGGGGGCTCCTTCCCTGGGGGTAAAGAGGATGGGGCATAAAGCTGACCAATCACCTCCAACTAGTGCCGAGGTCAAGAAAACGCGGGATGTATACATCCACTCCCCAAACGCCTTCATGGCCCATTGCTTAATTAGTTAAGCACGAGGACTTTACCTTACCTACCTCTAAGTTTTTTTTCCTTGGCACTACAGCCCCAGTGGGCCTAGGCCTACCTCCATGAACTTCTCCGTTCACTTAAGTTTTTCTAGATCTTACACATTCGGTAGGACTCCTTGGGGGGGGGTGATCAGCTCATTGCAAGGCCTCTACCTGTACACAAACACAGAAAAACGCACACACAAACTAAACATCCATGCCCTGAGTGGGATTCGAACCCACGATCCCGGTTTCCAAGCTAGCGAAGACAGTACATGCCTTAGACCGCTCGGCTACCGTGACCGGCGCCTCTAAGATTAGAAGTGTTATTAATACAAGGACTTCACTACCTTCTTATTTTGTGATGTTACTGGAAATAAAAAAGGTAAAATTGTCCCTGTGCTTAACTAATTATGCACTACACACAGTATTGAGGAAGGCAGATGAGTTACTTGCCTGTTCAGACAAAACTCGACCTGCATAATTATATTCCAAAACAAGTACAATATCTGAGCCTTCTATCAATGAATAAATGGACTGTCTTTTCATGGTTTTTCTATAAAGGCTCTACAGCGATATTTTTTATTTATTTTCATCAGCACTACATATACAATATATCATTAAATTTTCCATTTATTTGTGTTCCAAGTTTGTCTTTTTGGAGTACACTTGCTTTGATAATCCAGATTATTGCTTAATCCAATGACCTCTCCCCCAGTAATCTGGATTAGCGAGGGTTTACTGTATCACAGAATAAAGCTTGCCATATACATACTAATTAACCAACTCCAGAGCATAGACTTCTTGAGAAAATAACAGTAACTCAGAAAGTCTTTAAATTACATACCCCACCCTCACCTTACACGGAACCCAAAGATTTATCATCATCACAAAGATCTGCCATACATCCCTACCCTGAACCAAATGAATCCAGTCCACACCCTCCAATGCCATTTTAATATCATATCCTCCAAGAAGTCCTCCCTTCAAATTTTCTGAACAGATCTTTGTACTCATTTCTTCACACTGTGGCAGCCAGGGTTCGATCCCGGGTCTGGTCAAGTGGGATTTGTGGTGGATAAACTGGTGCTGGGGAGGGTTTTCTCCGAGTACTTCGGTTTCCCCTGCCAATCTTCATTCCACCAAGAATTCTTCATCATCATAATCACCCAGGGCAGACTACAATAGGAGAATCAGTGGCCGCCATGCCGAGTGGACCCAGTTGGACTCCACCCCCCACTAAGCAAATTTTTAATTTTTTGTACTCATTTCCCTTCTCTCCCATGCACTTGATGACAAGCTGGGAAACTATCAGCTTTCCTAGTAGGAATTAGTCAATTTAAGTAATACATAATTACTGAATGTTTATGGAATCTACCAGAAAACTAGACTACAGTAACCATTCATGCAAAAGTGACATTCAACCTGTCATTTAAGTACTGTGTCATATGGGCCGTTTCTATAACAATACAGGACTGTCCTTAAACATTCTCACGGCAATGAATACAGACAATAGAAGAACTCCAATTTTTATACAACAGCCAATAAACACCCCCCTTAAGAACAAGACAACAACATAGGGGAAACTGTTTTTTTATGCTGTCTGCGCCAATAAAATGCAAGGAACAATAGGACATCCGTTGCTAGGCAATGAATCTCTAAACATGCATCTTTAATAAAGAAGATGATATTTTCCGTGGGGTCATTGCAGAGGAGTTATCTTGAAGACAATTGGTGCTACATGTCAGTCAGTCAGTTCTCAGTAGAAGATAGCCACGGGAAATTCACAGTTGGAGAGGACTGTGAAGACTTAACATGTGATCTGAAGACCTTATGTGTGCTACAGTGCACTGATATCTGGAGTGTGACAGTTGTAGTTCCTGTGTTAAAATTCATTGCCAGGAAAAGTACAGGGAAAACTCTGCAGAGGAACAGCCATTGTTTAGATTGGTTACCTAGCAATGACTAATGTATGCAGATATTGAAGATTTTATTTACATGTTATAATTATATTAATCTTGAAACTGATATAATTATTTGTAGTTATGACTACTGAATATCCAATAAATCAACTCACTGGTCAAAACCCGGGTCTGTGACAGTATTCACTTCTGTTTCAATATGATTTTTTATTTTTGGCTTGCACTACATATTTATGCATTGAAACAGAATGAAAAAACACCATTATCTACTTACCTAATTAGTTAATTAGTTACACAATTCAAAATATAAGAGTACACTGATCAACAAGTCTTCCATTCATTATCTTACTTGACTAATGACTGTGCTATATTGTCTACTGACCCCATGGACTGAGTGCTGATTACGGTCATAAGATTTTAGCTCCTGTTAGAATAAGGATGTAACTGAGTTTATGAAATTTGAGAAATAAGTAAATACTCAATAAATCATGCACATTTGTGTTACAGTTGCATTTACTGATCCTGTAAAGAACTTCATATTACATACTGCTGTTTCTATGAAAATATACTGTTTTTTTTTTTTTGCTACATGAAATATCTTGACTTCTTCATTTCTAATTACGTCCTTTTTGTACCCATATCCTTCAATTCTCAATGGATGTCAAGCTGAGCTCCACAGACAATTCATAAAAGTTAACCTAAATTCAGAACTCATAATAAATTTAACATTTATCAAGCCATCTGGTTTATGGTGGTTTCTTACATGGCTTATTCTCTGACCCTAAAGATGGAGACATGTTCCTCCAAAACATCAGTTGGCTTTCAGTGGACTATACAGAGATACAAGCCATAAGTCAGAACTCTTCATCTTATTTTAGACTCTGCAGTGTATTATTGTTACTTAAGATTTCTGAAAAGAAGCCATCAATTTCAAGTGCAAGTAGCACACCTAAAGCAGGTGGACAGGAATTATGTTTGACATAAAACTTGACCAGGTGTCACATTAGACAAGTGCATTATACAGATATACTATCATGGAAATATCACTTCCAGAACATGAGGGCAGAATCTACTCTTCTAGGGTAGTACTTACACTACTGAAGATCAACAAATGTCCATTCTGTGTCCAAACATTTTCAACTCATACCTTCTACTATGAACCAAAGCAGAGCCCTACATAGGCAAGTTGTGCCGGAATGAAAAGCTTTCTGTTTGACACTTCACGTATCATTCAACTGGCAGGAGAGGAGCAAAAGGCAACCTAATATCTGTGTCTCAATGGCATGGAATACAGGAAGGATGACAGAAAGCTCAATCTGGGTTACAACTGGCAAAAGTATTGCACCATTCCAGATAGGATTGCTTCCTTAATTCAGCAACATCAACAGCACTGCATTCTACTGTGACACAAGGATCTTGCGTGTATTCTTACACACGTGTTCTAAGATGTTTTATACAGGGTGTTTCACGACTTTCGGGCATAACTGCAGTAGGTGATTTCCTAGGTCTTTGTGATCAAAAAAGTTCATATAAACATGTATCCGATTTTGGACAGTTATGGAGTTATGACCGTTTTAAACTCAGAATAGAAGGTAATGATTACCAACAATAAACAGAACAAAATAATAAACCAGAATAATACATGATACATTTAAAGTATGAATGTAAAGTTAACTTCGTGAAATTACATTTAATTTGAATTTATTCGTGCTTAAAGCTGATTTTTGAAAATGTCACTGCCGGCCGCAACACAGGCTGCCGCTCGGTTGTGAACCATGCCGGACATACCGATCCACCCCGCCTTAGGTAGCTCTCAAGTGTCGAGATAACGAGAATGCTCTGTCTGTAGCTGGCTAAAAAATAGCAACCCACCAGCTGACAGACGCTCTTCACACGAGGGCGTGTACGGGAATGAAAAAACGGTCATAACTCCGTAACCGTCCAAAATCGGACACATGTTTATATGAACTTTTTTGATCACAAAGACCTAGGAAATCACCTCCTGCAGTTATGCCCTAAAGTCGAGAAACACCCTGTATATTAGAGTACACTAATGTGTGAACGCAAACAGATTAAGATGCTTACATATAACTCAGTTTCTTCATTCATGAATGCCAGGATGAATAACAACAATGAGATGGCAAATATCAATAATACAAAATTCATGCAACAGTATTTTCTCATGTAATCGGCTGTGTTAATATAGTGTTTGTATCTGAAGTTTCGGAGATGAGGACAGTCACCAAAACACTGGATACAGACTTCATATTCACATGGCTGATCATATGGGAAGACTTCAATGTGTAGTCATCATTAAAACTTCAAATCATACACACAAATTCACGTTTTCAATAATTAAACAACACAGAAGCACAAATTTTTGCTCATGACAAACATCTGTTGGTGTGGTACGAACAATTGCGACATGCTACTCAATGAGTATTTACAAGTATATTGTGCTATATTCGCTCAAAGCAAGAACTGTGGAGTCACTACAGCTGGAAATTACTAGGCAGTGGCCTGTAAACAACATCCTGGTTTCCATAGTGGTGTAGAAACCAATGACCACTGTTGTGGGCGTTACCCACATCCCATGAGTTGGGATATGGTGATAGACTGTGAGAGTGAGGACTGGAGTAGGATTTTTAAAACAGAATATTGTAGAAATCAAGATAATTACAGTTATGTGTATGCACAATAACAGAATATCTGTTCTGTGAATGCTAAAACGGGTACGCAATGCCAATACAAAACAAAATGTGCCAGTTTCTCCAGCAGTTGACAGTCCTAGGACTAAATTTTACTGAAGTTAACAACCACAAGGCTTTGCCACAGTTGGTGACACATATTCAAGCCTTCCATTCAGCTTAGCAAAAATTATATTTAGTAACGTTACACTCCCTTCGCTACAATGGACGGTGTACTATGCCAGAGACCTGACATCTTTGCACTCACAGTGGTCCACATTTCCGATGGGTTCCTCTATAAAACAAAGAAAGCAATTATTCAGTCACAACACTGGAATAAAAAAATATAGTATACACTGATAAATTCTGTGAGATATGTCTCATTTCTACAGCTGCTCAAGCTGGTGGATTTATGAATGATCACTGTGTAGTTAGTTAGTTAGTTAGTTAGTTAGTTATTGGAGAGGGTGGGTTTCCCCATGCACTGAGACCTGTATTGGTCCATTGTGCTTCCCTCTATGATTTCTACCAATCTCTATATCCTACCAGTACTGGTGCTTACCATCAGTCCCGCCCAGCCAGCGAGACCGGCTCTACTAGCTGAGAGGTATCTATAATGCTTCCCCCATCTACCAGAGGTATTAGAGACTGCTGTTGGGCGGGAAACGTCCGTTAATTTGGCTCAGTCACCTCCTTTTAAGATATGAGGTTCTTTTACATGCCGTAAAGCTACGACACGGGACCCACGGCTTAAAGTCCCTCCCGGAGGACTTATTCCCTGAATTTTTCCGCCCTTAAAAATTCGACAACCTCCGCCGGGTATTTGAACCCGCATACTACGAATCATGAGGTGGGAACGTTACCTCTAGACTACGGAGGCCGCTTGATCACTGTGTAACAGAGCAAGTAGCTACATGAACCTTACCTCTGATCTGCTTAGGTCTTAGTAGTCTTGTGTTTGGGCACAGGGACAATTTTAAACCTGCTTTATGTGTGGCATGCAAAATAAGGGAAGACAAACAGAGAACCCAGACAAATCTAGAAACAGGGTGTTCAGAATATGCAGAGAAGGAGCAAGAAACATACCCAACACGTGACAGAATGTATTGCCGCCACTGACATGAAAGGAATGGCAATCTCTTTGTGGCACATTTTCATCAGTAGCTTACAACAAGACTAAGATGTGACAAGTCTGTGATATAAGAACTTAGTTCTACATATCCATTTAACACGTTTAAAAACATACAGCTTTGTGCTTGCCATTTCTTTTAGCAATACATATTGCAATGGGTATACCATGCAATCAGTCAAGCAAATGATGTTGTAGTTCAGTCTGCTGTGCTCTTCTTACAGTGTATCACAGCGTTTAGTAAAGTTCCATCTTCTGAAACATACTTTGTACAAGAACCTGCTTCCTCAGTTCCCATCACTGTTACTTTCTTTACTGTTATTATTTTCTCATTGGGTTTGAACAACATTCCTTCATATGAGAGCCTCAACTGGACATAATACACAAACCCCAGATGACTTATGAGTATAGAGCAGTTGTGGAGTGATAAATGGCAAGGGGGAATTAAAGTGCACACAGAAAAGCCTGATTCAAGACCATTTTGTCCATGAAAAATCTGATCTGGTGTACTCTGGTCCTGAACATGGGCCTCCACAATGTGAAGCAAGCAACTAACCATGTGAGCTATGGCACAGCTCTTAGCAACCATAATGCTTGGAAAAATGAGAGACACTGTCCAAATTGTCATAATGCTCAAAGAAAATGAGGTGTCTGTTGTCTTAACTGTCATAAAGCTCAGAGAAATTAGACACCTCTTGTCTAAACATCAACAATGCTGAGAAAAAATGAGACATACTGCACTAATCTGGGGGCACACGGTAGTGTAATCGGTTGAGGCACTATGCAACAAGCCGGAAGGTTGCGGACTCAAGTCCCGATGAGGTCGTTAGATTTTTCCAATTGACCTAATCCTTCCAGCCGCACTAGGCCCTAGGGTTTACTCAGCCTCTAACAGAAATGAGTACCAGGAATTAATTTAATAATTTTCCTGGGGAGTAAAGCACGGCCGACACGTAAGGCTGACAACCTTACCGCCATTTTAGAGCCGATTGTCTAGTTAATGTGGGACCCTCAACATCTCACAACCCTATGGGCCTTCATGGCCTGTTACAGGGATAGCTTTACTTTTTACTTTTACTGCCCTAATTTATTTTTCTTTCTTTCTACTGAACTTGCTGAAATGTATTGTGGCATGTCTGCTGAAAGCTGAACAGTTTAATCAGAAAAGACATCCGTTACTAGGTTATGGCACAGTAAATGCCACATCAGCATAGCAACAACAGAGGAATTGTGGGAAGTGGTGTTCTCTGTGGATCTGTGCAGAGGTTATATATGGATAACTGAAACACAGCTAAGTCAGTTGACAGTGGAGCGTAAGTTGAGCTTCGAGGGAGGTGGTCCAAGACTAGGCTAAGACAGTCGCCTACTAGAAACCCCCATTATAGCAACGTGAATTAGTTGAGAGATAGACACCAGCTAGCAAGGAGCTGGGACCATTAGTTGGCAAGGCCAGGAGCAGAGGAACGTCCAGTGTTGGAATATGTTACCCAACAGTGCAGTGAAGACCATGACTGGGAGCACCAGTCTGTGTGTGGTGGTGATTTGTAAAGTGTAGTTACAAGAGTCAGGAGTCTTGAGAAGGCAGATAGCAGGTGCAGTTCTTGAGCTATAAGGGTGTGAAGAATAAGCCCTTGTTAGAAGAGTGTATCCAGGCAACGCCTTGTTAGTCATGAGGCAGGTGCCAGCCAGTGATGACAGAAGCTGCTGAACACGTAAGCTGAGGAATCTATAATGTTGGAAGCCATTTCCAGACAACCAGTGAAGATAGCAAACTGAAAGGACTTAGTGATTGCTGCAGTGAACTGCAGAGTGTGAATCAGCACTAGCACAATAGTAAGTTGTAGTTATAATCTGTAAATCGAATTACCAATCCAAACCCCATCTACAGCACTTAACATGTGACATATGCAGTTTCTCATGCCACATCGGAAACTGCCTTCCTGCTCATGAATGATTTAAAAAAGATATCAGTTGAGTATAATTCTCTTTTAAATAACTGTCATGTTCTAAGAGAACAACAGATTAACAGACAGCATGGAGAACATAACAAAAACGTGAGAAAATGTTGGTACTACAGGATTAAACACATTAGAAGAAAAGCATATTGTCGAAATTCAGCACAAAGAGAAGAAACACAGTATATACATGGAACTTTCAAAAACAGATAATCTAACAAAGTTTCGCCAGATTGGTCTTTACCTTTGTTATGGCTCTGAACACAATTGTGGCTGCTACACCAAAGGTAAACATCATCAGATATGGAAGGAACTTCAGACTCAAACCTTTCCTTTTTGCCAACAGAAAAGACAAAATGTTGATTTTCTTTTGAGAGTAGGGTGGATATCTGAAACTGCAATATACATATATATAAAAAATGTTAAGACTTATTGCTTGTATCATGAATTATTCCAATTCTCCATTATTCAGACAAAAATAATGGAGAAGAGCAAGTAGAACTGTAACAGAAAGAACAAAATTACATAAACACAGAAACAAACCTTCAGGATATTTATGTTAGCATATTCGCTCTGTATTTATCCCCCTCTATTGGAACATCAAGTTTCATTCGCAAGGCAACATCGAGTTTCACTCACAATCACTTTAAAATAACCTAAGAATTATATTTCAAGTTATTGCCAATACAGCTCATGAGGATGTGAATCTCTGAGCTTTCAAGCAACAGCCTTCTGGATACCACCACTTACATTTTGACAAATTGACATAAGTAAACACTGAGATGAAGAAACACGAGGAAAATGAAGTTGATGCAAATTTAAATGGTTCGCATGAGAAGACATCCAGGCTGTTCAGATGCCAAAATAATGGATTATTTACCAAAATATTATGAAAAAATTTTGAGGAAAAAATCTAACTACCTGACATTCAGAAATGTTTCATTACAACAAAGAGTAGTACACAGCAAAAGTTTCTAAAAAAAAAAAATCCATTAATAATACACCTTGTACACTGAAGGTGATTATTAACAGTAGAAGTTGAGGTTCCGACAGTTGTTGTTATGAAAACTTCTATCTTCTGGTACAAAATGCCGCGTAGTCTGTGGAAAGTCAACTGGTCTTTCAGGGGAATATGTCGCCTCTGTCTTCATAACGGAAGACTAAGCCACACATGAAACGATCATGTAGCAGGAAAAAGCTAGCAACACATGCTTGCTACCTTCTTCACAGTAGTTTCCTTCTTGGCTTACTCTTCAACCCTGAAGATGGAGGCCACATGTTCCTTTCAGATATCAGATGACTTTCAATGGATTGCATGTTGTTATATTCCAGAAGACAGAACTCTTCAAGAACAACTGTCACACACCTACACAGAAGTTACGATTTGGATTCAGTCCCACTGTATATCATGATGTACAAGCAGTTAAAAGCTATTTTTAAATAAACTGTGGGGCTCTTGTCAACGTGTGTAGTCTTGTCATTACTCCGATGACAACCCACTTCTTCGGAACAGTTTGTTGGCCCTGAAAAGGACCGTGGCTGCTGAGATGCTTGATCGGAGAGGTAGCGCAGCGCGTGCCGGTAAGGAGAAAGGCTAGTTACGGTGAATGGCTGGTGAAAGGCTAGTCGTTGAGCGCGGTCGTAGGAGCCACGAGGCAGTGGCTACGCCAGATGCCCAGTGAGTCGGACCATAACACGACCACCGGCGAGTCCAGGCGCGGTGCCCCAGTGAGTCAGGTGTGAGAGCGCTGGAGAGCCGAGGCAGTCGTGCCTGGCGCAGCCTGCCGATGTCTCCGAAGACCGAGCGCTGGCGACGAAGCCTGCTGGCTGAAGTTGCTTGCTGTCGGACTGAAATAAACTGCTGAACTGAATAACTCGGCTTTGGGGTCGCTCCTTTTTATACGCTGGTCGGTGGGGCGGAGCCAAACTCGAAAGTGAGGAGCAAGAATTGATTGGCTAGCGCGCGTAATGGTGTAGACGCGGGCTAGCGCCGAGCGTAGTATAAATGCGATCGTTTGAAGCAATCTGATTGGTTAGCGCGCGTGATGGTGAAAAGTGATGTGAAGAGCGAGCGTTGCAGAAATGCGTGATAATGTGGGATGTTCCCACATCACTCCCCCCCTTGCGAGAAGTGATGCTGCTTGCGAAGTGTATGCGGCGTCTATGCTGGGCCGTGATGATCCAACGTAGGAGTCGTTACTTGATGTTCACCACACGCGCTTCCAATCACGTCGGGGTCATCAATGTGGGGCTCTTGTCAACGTGTGTAGTCTTGTCATTACTCCGATGACAACCCACTTCTTCGGAACAGTTTGTTGGCCCTGAAAAGGACCGTGGCTGCTGAGATGCTTGATCGGAGAGGTAGCGTGGCGCGCGCCGGTAAGGAGAAAGGCTAGTTACGGTGAATGGCTGGTGAAAGGCTAGTCGTTGAGCGCAGTCGTAGGAGCCACGAGGCAGTGGCTACGCCAGATGCCCAGTGAGTCGGACCATAACACGACTACCGGCGAGTCCAGGTGCGGTGCCCCAGTGAGTCGGGTGTGAGAGCGCTGGAGAGCCGAGGCAGTCGTGCCTGGCGCAGCCTGCCGATGTCTCCGAAGACCGAGCGCTGGCGACAAAGCCTGCTGGCTGAAGTTGCTTGCTGTCGGACTGAAATAAACTGCTGAACTGAATAACTCGGCTTTGGAGTCGCTCCTTTTTATACGCTGGTCGGTGGGGCGGAGCCAAACTCGAAAGTGAGGAGGAAGGATTGGCTAGCGCGCGTAATGACGTAGATGCGGGCCAGGAGCGATCCCGGTATAAATATGAACGGTTGAAGCAATCAGATTGGTTAGCGCGCGTGATGGTGAAAAGTGATGTGAAGAGCGAGCGTTGCAGAAATGCGTGATAATGTGGGATGTTCCCACAAACATTTAATTTTTCAGCCCTAGTCTCAACATCTCAGTCAGGTGTTTACTTTACAGGAATAAAGTTATTTAATAACCCTTGAAATGAAGGGGATTGTTGGGATACACAAGCAATTTAAGATTTCTTTAAGGAGATACTTGATTACCCATTGTTTTTATGACTTTGAGGAGTATTACGGTGTTAATGGATGATGATGTAAACTAATGGTTTTATATGAATAGCATGTTAGTTTCTCTATATTGAATTATATGAGTCTATCTGTATAACAGTTTTATTGTATTTACGATAATACTTAGTCTTTTATATCATTTATTTTACTGCTTTATAATTTTGACATATTCTAATTATTTACTTGAGCTCAACTTATATCTGAACTGTACTTATGACTGTACTGCACCTTTTATGTTCTTCTGCTTATCTTGACATATTTTAATTAATATTTGACGTGTTCTATATCCTATGGTTTGTAATCAGTTTTACTGGATCATCTGGAACTCGAAATAAATTACAATTACAATTACATGCTTATGCTTACTTCTCCATTCCCTACAAGAAATAAGGATACCGGTTTGCTGCAAAGAATATTTACTTACGATGCTAACTTCTCTGCTAATGGGCTGAAGTCTTTAATGAGACAACTTTTCTTATGTGTAAATGTGTTGAAACTGTACACACCATGGTATGCTCCCATGCCACTATAGCCAACACCACCAAAAGGCAAACTGTCAACTGCAATAGAAAAGCAGCATAACCTCCTTTAAGCTCTAGCGTTCTATAGCACAGTTTTGAAATCAGATAAACAGCGATATTTACTACAGATTTTAGTCACTGTCACTTCAACCTGGCCCAAAGTTGCAAACAAGACTGTTAAGAATGTGACAGCTACATGAGGTATGGTGAATATTAAGATCATGGTCTTCTGGGATGTGCTGCAGTGTAGCCTGCTAGATGGGTAGCGATAATTCAGAGCAACTTCTGTCTCCAGCTTCATGATAGAAGAGTCCTTCTACCCTGATGATAAAGGCAGCTGGTTCCATCAAAAGTTGTTATTTATCTACCAAACTATATGGTTTCATCCCAGAACACAGCACCCTTAACATTACGTTTCTTACACTGCCAAAAATAATTGAAATTGTATTTGAAAACAATGTGAAAAATATCTGGATCCAGCATGAAAGTGTTGGAAGATATTAATGCATTTGCCTGAATATGAGAAAATATCCCTTCTGAGAACTTCAAATCATTGGAACAGTTTCATATGTAACAGACCGCACCATAACTCAAGCGGTTAGTTGCTGGCTTCCCACTGCGGTGGCCTGGGTTTGATCCCAGGTCTGGTCAAGAGGGATTTGTGGTGGACAAAGTGGCGCTGGGGCAGGTTTTCTCTGAGTACTTCGGTTTCCCCTGCCAATCTTCATTCCACCAAATTCTCCATCATCATAATCACCAAGGACAGGCTACAATAGGCCAATGAGTGGCCGCCGTGCCGAGTGGACCCAGTTGTACTCCACCTTCCACTATGCAAATTCATATGTAACAATGAAACTAGACAGAACAGGCACACCAGACTGAATTTTCATATACTTTCGATCTTTAAGAGAGATCTGATTTTAAAAGAAACCAAACTGAGGGAAAAGAAAAAGGATAACCTTGCACAGAATACGTGACTACTTCTGCATTCCCATTTCAATTAAGATTGACCATGTGAGGCACACTGAGGACAGAATAGTGAAGGCCGCTTAGCACATGGAGTCAAAAACTCAGCCTGGAAACCAAGAACAAGGAGATTGACAGGTGGAAGAGGATACTGAGAGAACAGGAACAGATGAGTAACAAATATAACAGGAAATGTTGTGGGAAAAGATAGGAGAAGAGAATGGAAACACCTTCACAGTGTGTGGATACATTCATGTAATATTATGATTTCTGATAAAGCTGTGTGAACCATACAATGCAAAAAACTGTAACAAGATGAGGTTTACCTGAAGCATGCATGACTGTATCATTGCATGTGATGCCTCCACATGTAACATTTTCCACTAACATCTTCATGTCTTTTGAGTTCTTTGTGAAAATGTAGAAGGCAAGTGGCTGGTTTCTGCAACAAGAAGAGAAGTCAAGAGGCAGAGTTCTGCATACTGACTGCCTGAAGGCAATGGAGCATGCTAAAATGGTGTTTATATAGAACATCTGTGTGGAAGTATTATTAAATTATCTACATCTAAAATACTTCAAGTAACGGAGCATTAAATAATTGTCATTACAGTGAAACTATCATTCAAGTTGTTTACAACTACTTACTTACTTACTTACTTACTCATGGAGCCAAGCCCTTCTTGGGGAGCAGCCAATTCTGCAGCTACTCAAGAATTTCCCAGCATTTTGTGGAACCTGGAGGTTCATTACCGCATTCATATGAGCCCTCCACTGGTCCCTATCCCAAGACATATCAATCCAATCCATCCCATCCCATCCTATCTCTCTAAGATCCATTTTAATATTGTCCACCCACTTACGCCTTGGCCTTCCCAGTGGTTTCTTTCCTTCTGGCTTTCCCACCATTATCCTATACACATTCGTCTCCCCCATTTGTGCTACATGCCCTGCTCACCTCATCTTTCTTGACTTGATCATTCTAATTATACGTGGAGAAAAGTACAAGTTATGAAGCTCCTCATTATGCAGTTTTCTCCAACCTCCTGTCACTTCATCTCTCTTTAGTCCAAATATTCTCAACACCCTCGGTCTATGTTCCTCCGTTTATGTCAGAGACAAAGTTTCACACCCATACAGAACCTAAGGCAAAATTATAGGTTTGTATATTCTAATTTTTATGTTTCTGGACAGCATACGAGAAGACAAAAGGTTCTGGACTGAATGGTAGCAAGCATTACACAAGTTCAATCTCCTCTTAATTTCCTCTTGAATCAGGTTTCGATTTATCGTCTTTCCCAGATATTGAACTGTGACACATTTTTAAAACATTCTGTACTTACCGGCTGTTTATAAAAGAAATGGCTTCAGAAGGGCTGTCCACATTTAAAATGGGTAATATCGGTCCAAATATTTCCTCCTGCATTACTGGATCCGTTGGTTTGACATCAACTAAAATAGTTGGGCTGATGAATCTTTCTGATGAGTTAGTCTCACCACCAACTGCTATTCTTCCATTATTCAGGAAAGACACAAGTCGCCTGGTGAATGTCCAAATAGTACAAGTGATTGAAGTGTCAGTCTAACTAAAACTTACATTAGGTGCTTTGTTCATTTATTTTAATTTTACAAATATTTCCACAATCCTGCAACATACACATTTATGACAGATTCTTTCTGTTGGTTACATAACACTGCATTCCATTTGAAGACCACAGCCTCAGATGACAGGATGTTTGATAAACCGGAATGGATTTCGGAGTATGGAGTCATGGGCTCACTGAGGTACCACTCTAGACTTTGCCTGAAAGGACTGAGGAAAACAATGGAAATCCTCAGCCAGAATAGCCGGTGTCCCAGATGAGAGCTGAACTCTCAGCACCTACTGTATACGAGTCTACAATGTTATTTCAGGGCCATCTTGCTTGGTACAATGTATGTTGTTTCCTGACTGTCCCTCTTACTGATAATCATTGGCTCATGAAAAATATCAAACATGATATATTAAAAAACCAGAGATACTGGAAATGCCCATTTACAAATTCTCAGTGAGTTATGTTAAGATTGATGCTTGAAGCAAAGTTAGACAGCAAACATAAGCTGCTCTCATGGGTAACTTATTCTTGTTGTTATATGGCTTATATACAGCCAAAATAGTGAGTGGGTGGGTTGTAATATCACACATTTTGTGAACTCAACTAGCAATACTAACACCAAAAATATAATTTTACATTATAATTTTTTGTTCTATGATTCAATAAGTTTGCATTGTTAGCAGATGAGAGACCGAGGGAAAAAGTAACTTTGATTCCTATGAAGCATCCCAGATCTGCATGGACAACCTGTCATCATTGTTTCACTTGCATTCAGTCAAAATCCTAGATCAGACAGGCAGAATCTGCAGCACTCCAGAAGACAGTCAATAAGTCTATACATCACACATTTCAGTAAATCCATAGTATCTTCTGTGCAAGGAATTTTATCAAATTTAAAACTTTAGTTAACATCAAATTAACAAGATGAGTTGTACCTTCTGAGATACTGTACAGTATTATGCATTTGTACTACCCAGCAATGGTATCTCTACCTTATCGTGGTGTTGGGGTCTGAGAGCTCCTGAGAAGCTGTGCGCTATGCCAGCGGTAGCATAGCTACTGGTAGGGTCACCCATGCCGGACAGGTCAAGGGGTAGGAGCCAGACAAAGAGGGATACCCTGGTCCTCCACGTTGAGGATTGGGTGTGAGGCTAACAACCTCAGCGCGTAAAAACTAAATTGTTCAGAAACCAGATAATCAGCCCCAGATGGAGGGACTGAATGGAGACCGACATCAGTGAGGGAGCTGAGATGGCTGGAGGACGTCCATGATGACCTCTGCAAAATGAAAGTGAAAGGATGGGGAGGAAAGATGAAGAATAGGGAAGAATGAAGACAGATTGTTCAGGAGGCCAAAACTCACCCTGAGCTGTAGCGCCAAGGTGAAGGAAGGAATATATTAGTACCTGACTTGTTCCATATCAAATGGTACTGGGATTTATGGAATGTAAATAAATTAAAATATAATGCCTTGTACTCTGGTCAAAATCAACTGACGTTTTGAAGGAACATCTCTTACTTCAGGGTCAAAGAATGAGCCAAGCAAGAAGCCAGAAGAAAAATCTGCTTGCTGTGTTTGCTTCACTTATCTCTGACCATGAAGACAGGAATGACAAGCTCCTCTGAAATGTTGGCTGACATCCATCAGGCTACAAGGCATTATGTCCAAGAAGAAAGAACACCTCACAGTCTGTACTATAAGAATCTCAAATCCTACATCAGATTAACAGTTCTATACTGAACATGAAGTTAAATGGTTCACACAAGAAATTGTATATGGCTATCAAGTTTTCTTACCAATTCTTCAAGTCCTACAAAAATGTGAAAATGCAACATGGAATTTGTCTTATGGACAAGTGTCTGCTTACTTGTAGTGCTTATCAGAAATAATGCGACATAAATCTGGGGAGCTTTTCACATTGCTCCCATACCACTCCTGTAGAACTTCTCTGGCCTTTGCCACAAAGCTTGATTGGACTTCTTTAGGGCAGAGAATATAGTCTGGTGCAATGCAAGTTTGTCCAGCATTGATACACTTTCCCCACAGAATCCGTTTCACTGTAATGTTCATATCTACGGTGTTGTCAATGTACACTGGGCTGAAAGAAGACAAATACAAACACAGCTAAATGACACAGAAAGTGCAGAATAATTGTACCTGTCTGAGATAGGAAATCCCTTTTGCAATCATGCACCCACTGAATGACAGATATGTGATCACCTCTTGCCTCCCAGCTCCAGTGTAACAGGGGTCAGGTGTTCATTGGCTGCAGCCCTCACAATTTTACCAACAGCTGCAGATCCTGTGTAAAATATATAATCAAATCGCTCCTTGAGAAGTGCTGTAGTTTCTGGTACACCTCCCTGCACTACCTGAAAGCACTCCTGCCAACAGAAGTAGGATCTGTTCATGATTACAGATTTTCCTGTCACTCACATTCTGCCTACACCTGCAATGAAATTATCCTCTATCAGGAGTGGACCCTAGGACTGATGACCCAATGGCATAACATGATATCTTTTCTCATGGCATATACAGAAGATGAACAAAACAATGGAACATTAAGAAACTGAGGAACAGAATTTGTGTTCGCTACACTGTTCTTCCATTTGTTTACACTCTGTAGTGCTCATGTCAGTGCATCACTGATTGTGTTGAGTGACTGTCCATGAGAAAGAATTGGAAAATGGGAAACTTGTCGATTTTGAAAGAGAGCAGATCATTGGTGCGTGTTTAGCTGGAGCATCTGTCGCAAAAACTGCCACAAATTGGGTCTCTCTAGAGAAACAGTTTCTGAGGTTATGTGGGCATACATGACTCATGGGAAAACATCAGAAAAGGGGAACAGTGGATGAAATTTAAAAATGAAAGAAAGAGATCATCATACATTGAGAAGGAGTGTTTAAAAAACCACAGACCTGAATACTCATCTTGAAGACCATTTCCACGAAAACTGTCCGATGTATGCATCACAAATACAACATCAATGTTAGGACTGCAATTGCTAAACCTCTGATTACTGAAAGTAATGCTCAGATGTGTAAAAAATGGTGTCATGACCATAAAACCTGGACATCAGACAAGTGGATATGAATCATATGGTCAGATGAATTGTCCTTCATGCTGTTCCCTACATCAGGAAGTGTTTACATCTGAGAATACCCAAGGAAGCCTATAGTCTGGAATGTATGGTTCCAACAGCCAAACACAGGGGAGGTTCTATGATGGTTTGTGGGGCAACACTGTCGTACAGTATTCTGTTGATCCCATCCATGGCCAAATTACTTCAAGGATATATATGGACAGTTTGGGTAATCAGGTGCATCCCATGATCCAGACGTTATTTCCGAACAACGATGCAGCTTTCCAAGATGACAATGCCCCCATTCACACAGCTGGAACTGTTCAGTCACTGTTTGAAGAGCATGATGGTCAACTTCATCTTTGCTGGCAAGCACAATCACCAGATCTGAACTTCACTGAACCACTCTGGACAGTTTTGGAGACTAGGGTGAGGAACAGATACCCACTTCAAGCATCTCTAAAGTAACCTGAAGATGTTCTTCGAGAAGACCGATATAAAATTCTGCTTGAGACCGTTAAAAACTTGTACGAGTCCATTCCAAAAAGGACTGCGGCTGTACTAAAGGCAGAAGGTGGTCCAACACCTGTACATTTGTCTAGATTTTTTTTTGGACTTACCAAGTTTGTTTCACACAAATGAACATACTTCTCTAAGTGTATCTTTATCTTCCAGCACTGTAGTTCATTTCAATTAAATGCTGTTGGTGGTACAGCAACAGAGTATGCAGCTCACGTTCCCAGTTTTGGGTGATAACACTGTGGTGATGTGCCATCAGACACCACCATCTGACATAAGAATAGGGATCCTTACACAAAACTTTTGTATTTTTTCATCTCCTCAGGTTCCCATTCTTTCAAACAATTTGTGTTCTCCAGCATTTCAACAAACTCCTCACTGGGAGTAAGGTAAAAATGACCTAATTTCATAATACATTCCTGCTGGATCCACCAATCACAGCACAGAATCCTTCATTACTTCACTGCCTGGATCCTTAAATATGAGAACTAGGACTGTGATCAGTCATAACCCAGTGACTGGGGGCATAACCAGGTTACCCTGTTCCTGAAGGTTATAAATACAGGGACCTGGCCCTTCAGGCTGGGGGAGTCTCAAATCTGAGACAGTAAAATATGGTCATGAATCCTGCTAGACTTGAACCTGAGAATGACTGAGCTGGCGAGGACCAGCAGCAATTGTAAACAACAGACATATCCTCTTGTCAGTGAGGATGTTACTTAAGGACTATAACCACAAGTGTTCAGTCAGAAAATAAATTACTGGTCCTGAGTCTCAAAGGACTTGTTGCCAAGACGAACTGATTGGCAGTATATTGTCTCTGGTAAAGTAGCTCTGACTCTGTTCAGTCATTTCACCCTAAAGAAGGAGACTAACAATTTTTCAAAATTCAAGACAGAAATTATGGTCTCAATAAATCAACATGAAGCCCAAAGACTGTGGAATACAGTAAGGAACTTATTTACTCAAAATTTTCAATAAATGTTTTTTTCCCCACAGTTTCAGCCAGTAGGATGCTATAAAGCTTTTAATCCTCTACCTTTATAAGTTTCTTTCATCCTGTTTATCATATAATCCAAGATAAATATGAACTGAAACTTAAAGAAACAAATGTAGTACGCATCACCTGGTCCAGGTAGTTCGGAATGAGCTTGGCCAACAGCTCTGCAGATGCTGGAGACATTTCAGAAGGTTTTAATATAACACAATTCCCTGCAGCAATGGCACCCACAAGTGGCAAGAGTGTCAAATGAATGGGGTAGTTCCAGGCACCTATTATCAGCACAACCCCATATGGGTCATTGTAGATTAATAAACCATCCATGGCATTCACTAAACCTTTGGAAGGCTGCAACCAATAAGTTATTACATTTGCAGAAGCAAAGGCTGAAACAACAAATTTCTCACAGAATCACTACCATCACCTTGCTATTCAGATAGTAATGTATTAATTTTACAGTAGAAATACCAATTTTTATTGATACACTTAGCAGCCTGCGTAGTCCAGGGGTAATGTTCCCACCTCATGACTCAAGGTACACGGGTTCAAACCAGGTGGAGGTCGTGGAATTTTTAAGGGCAGAAGAATTCAGGGAACAAGTCCTCCGGGAGGGACTTTAAGCCGTGGGTCCTGTGTCATAGCTTTACGGCACGTAAAAGAACCTCATGTCTCAAGGAGACCTCTGAGCCAAATTTGTAAGGACATTTCCCACCCAACAATAGTCTCTACCACCTCTGGTAGATGGGAAAAGCATCTAGATACTGCTGAGCCAGTAGAGGCCGAACTCACTGGCTGAGTCGGGACTGATGGCACGCAACAGTACCGGTAGGGTATAGAGACTGGGAGAATATCACAGGGGGACGTACAATAGATCAAACTGGTCGCGGTGCATGGGGAAACCCACCCCCTCCAATAATAACAATAACAATAATATTGATACACTTTCAAAAATATTACTTCATGCTGCTTTAATTTCTCACACATTTAAAGACAGATAACAATGTTGCCACCCAATTTAGTCCTCTCTTTGCCTACAAAATGAATGAGTACGCGAAGGAGGATGTGTCAGAACTGCCATGAACCAATCTGTTCTTTACAGTGTAATTTAAATATGCTAAGAAATGGTGACAACCAAGCAACATACTACTTTCTTTTAATACTTTCTACTTCTTCCTCTGGACAAGTCTCGCTTGTAAATTCCATTCGACTATAGTAAAAAATTTCTGTTTGCATATCCCGCAGCATCTGCCTGGCAGTAAGAAGTCTAAGGAGAGAGATGCAATTTTACATGGCAGCTTAATAATAATCCTACTGCATTTTCAGCACATAACAAAATAACAGAGGAACAACTTAATTTCTCACTTCACACTTAAGTGTGGAAAATTCTAAAAAATTTAATGATTTGTTTAAAATTTCAGAATCACTTTAAAACACAACTTTCAAATAATATCTTAACACACAGATGTATCAGAACACGTTAAAATATGTTCTAACCTGAACTATTTGGAACATCACTGTTCATGCAATCCACTTGTATAAATCCTATGTATATATATATATATCAACACTAAGCCTTAGAAGTATACACTAAAGTTTTCAGCTTAGTTAAATGGAAAGAAAATCTATTTTCTCTACAGTGAAATCAAAATTTTTACAGAAAATTTGCAACTAATTACATAACAAGAAGTTCTAGGAAGCACAACACCAACCACACAGAAAATGATGAGTGTACAACAATTCTTCTATTGTTACATGTATATTCATTGCTGTGGCAATATTTTTACTGCACTGTTGCCTACAAATCATAACTTTATACACATATAGATGCACAAACTGACGGGAGGGATTTATGAAGTACGTCGCTGAGACGGTCTCAGATGCCATGATATACAAACCAAGTTTCATATAGATTGGTTCAGGCATGCAAAAGTTGAGGGGGGCAGGGAATCACACACTCAGATAGCCTAGTTCTCTCATAAGTCTACTTTTATATCTTTTTTTTTTCAAAATGAGTAAAGTAGGCTAAAAAGTATGGATACAAAACTGTTCTTTCTATGTTATACATATTAGTGGCAGCGCTGTAATTATTAGTAGTTTTGAGTCATGTGTATAAGTGTCAATAAATCCATTCACCAATCCAAACACCATCTATAGTCACCCCAACTATATGAATACTTACAGAAAATCACAGCATATCTGCATTCTGTTTCTTACCTTCTCTGGTTTTGTCCATTCTTTTAGATGAAAAAGAACATTCTTTACTTCATTAATCAGGACGTTGATTTCAAGTAAAAGGGCTTCTAGTCTGCTCTGCAATGAATTACATTTATTATAGTAAAATGACAGATTAATACTGAAGTGTATTTAAATATCTGTCAGACCATAAGTTCTACCTTCCACAGATCTCTTCCCACAGCTTCAACCATTGCTGTGGTGTTCTCTTCAAGCATCCAAAGCAACTGCTTCAGCTGCCTCTCTCGAAAGTCAATGGGCTTGGTACGCCCATTCCTGAAGGCACTACGAGCCTTCTGAACAACCTGCAGAAGTGATAGCAGCATGTCTACTTCATACCATAACATTTGAAAAGTGTTCACAGTAAGTAACTTTAATGTCAGCTATTAATTTACACTGTGACATATCATGAAAGGGGAATATCAACAAGCAGTACAAGAAATAATATGAAGACCTGTGAATTACAGGACTGCTTATGTGGTCTAGTGGTCAGAGTTTGATTCCTGGCTCTACCAGATTTTCTAAGTAGTGGGTCTGGGACAGGATCCACTCAGCCTCATGAGGATAATTGAGGAGCTATTTCAAGGAAATAGTGGCTCCAGTCTAGAAAATCAAAATTAACAGCTGCGGAGATTCATTGTGGCAACCCCGCAGCGGCCTCTGTCCGCTAAAGTTGGCACTAACTTCACCGACAAGTGGCAGTCGCTTGGTCGGTATAATTCACTTGCAGACTAAAACCATGGAGTTTTTTTTTTGGGGGGGGGGGTGAATTAGAGCTGCAATACCTGTGGATTGTTTACAAGGAGATTCTGTTTACCAAGTTTCAGTCTTTACTGGTCAAGAATGCCTTGTTTCACATCTGCACATAACTGTTAAGTTCTGAAGGCTCCTCTCACTAATGAAGTCATGACATGAAAATTGATCAAGAATATATGAAGGGCCATTCAGAGTTAGAAGAGGCTTGCACTGTTGTAATTACAAGGTAGTTCAAATATGACCGGGACTGATTTGTGTGTAAACAAGCCACACTATGCAGCAGCTGTGCGACCTTGAGAGTGTGAAGCCACAACCTCCACCCTCCCACCTTTTCAGGTTGGAACCTGTTCAGTCCTGTCTGGGAGTTGCTAGAATAATGAACGAACAGAAGGTACCGTGGAGCACGGAACAACGCATTGTGATCAAATTCCATGTTGGAGAAAACGTCCCGTCTGCTGAAATTCACCACAGACTCCGACAACAGTATGGGGAAGAGTGTCTTTCACGGACCCGTGTGTTTGGATGGTGTAAGTGCTTCAGAGAGGGCAGAGAGCGCGTGGAGAATGAACCATGATCATTGGCCGCGAACATCCGTTATCGAGCCATGTTGCGCCGCAATTTTGAGACTAGAAGTCAAAATGCATTGCCTAAATGTTTCAGGACTTGCGACAAACGTTTTACAGTAATTACATTAGTATGTCAACACCTGGACAGGCAATCTAGGTTAAGAATGCCTGAGTTAGCAGAATGCGCAATAGCACTTCTGCAAGATGCGTTGTAGGTACACTGGAGTATGATAATATTATTAAATAAGCAGCAAAGAGGACCACGGATCCACCCACAGCCAATTAGAATATAACACTTGAGGACGAAAGGAGGAGTTAACCTCCCTCTTTCGCCAACCACAGAGTCAGCAAGTTAATGATATAAATTGCTGAATTCAGGAGACTTAGGGAGCTGATCAAAAAAACATAATAACCAGTTGTCAGCCGGAGGCTCTGTTCGAGATGGGTCTTACGAGTGGTGGAATTCAGCCTGCGTCTCTTATCGCAAGTAAGTCTCTTTACTCATACTAGCCATGCTGTTAAACATTATTGTTGATAAAAGTGTTGTGGTAAAATGTTGAAAGCAAACTCCAGTGTGCCAGTGAGCCCTTAGGGTAGAATAAGAAAAATAATGCAACAAGTAACAGGCAAGGGTTAGTACGGTAAACATGGTTGTCGTTATAGTGTATTATGATTACTGGTAGTATGCGGAGCACGCATATTTGTTGTTCGTAGTGGCGACCATGGATTTTGTGATAACTATATGTAGGCTTTCAATATGCATAACTTTAGGGGTAAAATATTTTAAGGGTGAAGTATTATGATAGTGTAGAATTATGTAATGAGTAGTAGGAAATGGAGACAGGAAAAAGGTTTACGTCGAACGATGAATAATCGCATAGCTTCAGGAGTTGAAACAGAGAGAGAGAGAGAGAGAGAGGCTCAAGGCCTACCCCCGGAAGGGGAGAACATGAGGAAGCATAGCATGTAAGTAAAGACACTATGTAGTCCCGACTGAAAGTCGGCCTTGTTAATATTGTAAATAAGAGTGTAAATAGACAGGGTAGTTAGAGTAGGATGTACCGGGATTGTGATTCACCCCTCCATAATCAACCTTTCCATGACCGATCCCGAGGATCCTACCAAAACGAAAGGCAGCAGCAGCCAAATGCAATGACAGTTAAGGGGAGGTACTAGGAATGGACAGGGATAGGCACCTGCCACGCAGGCAGCGCTTAGTAGCCTTTATATTAACGCCCCCTTAAGACGTAATAAGTGGTAACAGTGGCAGGCGACCTCCACCCACCCCCGTCACTAAGACAAAATTGGCGACAGCGGTGAGATATCCGATCCACCCGTCGTAGAGGATAATATGTGGTGTGACAGACGATAGGTAGAGGCGGGTCAGACCAGACACGCCCGCTCTACGCCAATAATAAGAGGTGACAGTGATGAAAGGGCCAACCAACAGAGCACGCTCGACCACCGCGCTACCGGCCCTTAGTACTTTCATCACCTCTCTTAAGAGATAAAATAGATGGTGGCAGCTTTAGGTAACGAAGGAAGTCCAGAATCAGGAGAATCCTAGCTGAGGGTAATCTAGGATTATTGTGTTAACTCCTTGCAGAGTAAGCTGTGGTGGCAAGGAGGGGCACCTCCACGCCCCCCCGGCACAATAAGTGGTGGCAGCGGTGGTATATCTCCACGCCCCCTGCCACCACGGCGTAATAAGTGGTGGCAGCAGCGGGATACCTCCACGCCCCTTGTCACCACGGCATAATAAGCCAAACATTGATCATGCAGATGCGCTTATTCATGAGAATAGGAACATCACTATCAAGGAACTTGGAGCAATGCTGTCCATCAGTGTTGGTAGCGTAGAAGACATCGTGAAATACCACCTGTACTATCACAAGGTGAATGAATGGTGGGTACCATGCACTTTGATGGACATGAACAAAATGGTGCGCATGCAAGCTGCCAGTCGTCTCCTACAGCAGTTTGAAGATGAAGGTGATGCATTTTTGAAGTCTACAGTGACCACTGATGAAACGTGGGTGCACTACTTCATTCCTGAGTCCCAGCAGTCATCACGCGAGTGGCGGCATACCAGTTCTCCCAAACCCAAGAGAGCGCAGAGGAGCCGTTCGGCAAGAAAAGTGATGGCAACGTTCTTCTGGGACTGGCAGGGGGTTATCCATGTAGACTTTCTGACAGATGCCAGAACAAACAATGCAGCTTATTACTCAGACCTCCTGGCAATAGACGTGAAGGAAAAGTTCCGATCCAAGTGGAAGACAGGTGGAAAGCAGGTAGCCTTCCTTCAAGACAATGCACGCCCCCATATGGCCAAAATAACAATGGAAACTCTCCGGAAATTGAAATGGAACCTTCTGACACATCCACCATACAGTCCCAATTTGGCCCCAAGTTATTTCTACCTGTTTGGAATGCTCAAATCAGACTTGCAAGGCATGCGGTTTGTGGATGACACCGTCATCCAGATTGTTCAGGTGTGGATACGCCGCCAACCACAAGGGTTTTTTGAAAAGGGCATCAGGATGCTTCCAGAACGTTGGAAAAAATGTGCTGACCCTGGAGGGGAGTACGTTGAAGACTGACATGTGCAAGTAAGTGTTTGGCAATTATGGTTTAAAAAAAAAATCAGTCCCAGTCATATTTGAACCACTTTGTACATATGACAATTTTCAGTTACCAACAGTGTCATGAACTCCATTATTAGACTATATTCCAATTGCCCAAATGAGGTGGACACTCCAAGGTTAGACTCTACAATGTAAAAGTTTCAAGGGGAAAAAGTTAATGCAATACAACATTTGGATCTCTATACACATGATAAGTAAATGCACTATCAAATTAACCCTTCCGCACCGACATCCGTGTGCTGCACCGACCCTTTAAATAATCGTATGCCACCGACATCGGTGCAGTGTACCGACCTGCGCAGTGTTAGCTTTGAAGGACGCTGCTGACAAAACGAGGAAAGATATTCCAATTTTCTTTTCAGGAGTATATAGATTAAGGTTTCATCTTTCAATTTGTTATGAGTTATTTATTTTGGACGAACTTTTAGCACGGTATTTTTATTTTATATCGTTAGTGTAATAGTTCATACTTTGGTCTCATTGCGCCTAGATTGCATTGAAGTTTTTCAAATTCTAAGTAAGGAAAATGTATAAAACTATATATCTTTCGACTCTATGGTCTTTTCTTGTCTATATGAGTCACTCACTGAAACCCCAGATGAAGGTTTTCCTTGAGTGGGTTACTGTACACTCTGCTGACACAATGAAGTAGTCAAACAAGAGGGTCCTTTTTTCTTGGAACCAAATGCAACCTAAGAAAACAAACTTACGAATGATACAGAAATCTATGATGTCATAACACTTTCTTCTCTCAGTCGCGCCATAACCATGGCCTCTACAAGTAGGAAAGTTTTACAGGACGATGAACTAGATGAGCTCCTTGCTCACGACTCGGAAGTTAGTGAGTTCGAATATTCGGATAGTAGTGAAAACAGTGATAATGAAATTGAAGATCAGGCTGTAGTTGATGCTATCCAAGATCATAGTATTGAAGATGACGACGAAATAGTGGCGAGGGTTCCAGTGGCGGATTCAGACGAGAGTTATTTTTGGCAAAATATGGATAATTATGATGGCGTTCGCAAACGGTTTTCTGAAAATTCGGGGCAGAGAAATCAGTCTGTGAATGTGCTTGACATTTCTACAATTTTTTACTGAGGATTTTGTAAACAATATCGTTCAGGAAACAAACACTTATGCGCAACAAATTTATATGTGGGAGGGTTTTTCCATTTAGATAACACCATCCCCCGGCTTCGTGAAAGACATTTTATTAGTAAAATTCCCCCATCAGGAAAAAAGACTAGACCACAAAGGCGATGTGTAGTGTGTACAAAAAACAAAAGAAGAAAAGAAACCGTGTACTGGTGCAGTGATTGTGATGTTGGGCTATGTATTGACAAGTGTTTTCAGGATTGCCACACCAAACTCGACTTTTAGCAGTTCGAGTGAGTAAAAAAATATTATTTATCATAATTATATTAAAAAAAATATATATATAGTTTTGTTCTTCATTTCATTATGAATATTTCTGTGAAAATTTTATCTCAATATACCTATTTTTGCGAGAGTTACTAAGTTTTTCATGGATAAGAGAACTTTTCTGTTTAATAATTAAATACCCCATCGGTTTGGCGGTAGGAAAAGATTTAAATACTATCCGTCGCGGAAGGGTTAACTGTAATTGCTGTGGGTCCAACCTGTCATATGATATATCTATTAAAATAAGAATTCTATTGTATTTTGTATAGCTGCTTTCTCTGGGAAAAATGTAGCGTATTCACTGAAGTACCGCCTTTCTGATGACTTTTTTTTGCCTAAAAGTTGTGTACATGTCACTGTACTCAAGCACAGTATTATTATACAAGACAAAAATTATGCTGTCATATCAGATATTATGGACTATGATAACATCATCACAAATTAATGCACTTTTCCATAAAATGTCTCGATCACAACTTCAATGAATGCAAGGACTTAACGAAAATGGTCAGACATAAAAATATTATGGTCTAGTTATATATAAAAGCTGGAAAACTATGTTAGATATACAGAGTTAATTGGTAACTTATGCTAGCTAAAAATTAAAGTAGTAAACTCTTCCATTCATTTCCTCCTCACAATCACAGTAATCGACTTACATCTGAGTAGTTAGCCATTTCCACTTCTTGTTAGGCACTCAGATATCTGAAACACAGAAACCCAGTAAGGCAAAAATATATACAGCAGATAGAGGGGGCAACACATACATTCTAGAAGTCTGCTGAGAAGTTCACTGCATAATGACAGAAGCTGGATGCGATATTTGAAATAAAAACCAACACAGCAGCTTATTCCTGACAGCATACCCAGAACGTAAACAATAGCACTCACACAGCGAAACTTCTGACTTGTACTCAGTTCAAATCACTATACTGAGGGTGGTTCTTTGCAGTTTTCCTCAGTTCCTCCAGGTGAATGTATGGCTACCACCTTGAATTATCCCACAACCATTTCCTTCCACATTTCTTCCAATTTATTATTCACTAAGCATTCTACCATTTGACATTTCATAGCCTGGCCTACTGACATTGCCATTAAATAGACCATAAATAAATATTGGCCAGGGAATGTGAGCATTAAGATCTCCAGTGACACCAGTTGGATGGATGAACAAGCACTCATAGGCTGAATGATGATGGAAGACACAACATAAGAACAGTAAAACAGTAACAGACAGCAACCCTCTAATTCATTACTTTCCATTAAGAGTTTGAGAGCTGTCTCTGAGTACAGGCAGTCTCCTTCAGTCAGTTGTGCCACAGAGGAAATAGTGAACACCATCCAAAAATGTTACAATCAACACCGCTAAGGTCTTTCAAATTTGATACATTTTGTCATTACCATATGTGTGGTAAAAATCTTTTTAGGAGAAGTAGCACAAAACATGAAGGAGCCATGTAAAGGCACTGGAAAAGTGTGATTCACCTTTTCTCTGGTTACTAATATATGTGACCGGTTACAATAATCTACAGTGTCCAGACCAACTTTGGGGCCCAACCAGCCTTCTATACAATGGGTACCTGGGGCTGTTCTGCCTGATGTAAAGTTGCAACTGACCATTCACTTAATCTAGTACCAGGTTCAGAAACCATGGAGCTATACCTCTACTCATCCATACTTCATGGAATTTGCTTAAATAATTAAGCATGGAGAGAACTTCACTTCATCAGATTTTCAAAATATGTTTATACCTATGTATGTAATGTGTATGTGTAAATACTCTTGGGGTCTATAAATGTTGGTTTTGTGGTTTGTATGGTTTTTGCATGCTCCATGAATGCTATGTGTCTCACCTACCTCAGCCTCCTTAACTTTAACACTAATAATGTTTGATGTACAGGAGAAATCTAACAAAAATCTCTTACACGCCTTCAACACAGCCCACTGCTAAATGCAAACAAAACCATACATATGTCACTCTGTTACCACAACTGGTAATATGGATTTAAATGCTATTTGTAATCGACACCAATAAGGGAAAATGTGCAACTTCTACCTCCCTTGGGCCAACAGCACAACATATAATATTCATTCCCTTCTCAAACCCCGTTAACTCTACTACCACTACTATCACCTTCACATACATGCTACAAAATGCCAGTCAGCGTATGTTTTAATTTGACTTTACAACTTATATGCTCTCTTTTCCCGTTTTGTAAGCAACCGCGTCTTGTGTAACTCGTACATTTACAGCAATGCAATCGTTCGAAATGATTAACGCAGGAAACATATTTCATGTCATTTTTTACCTGTAAATGATACAGCGGATACTCAGAACAGCGCCAAGTAAGCAATTTATTTCCAAGGACTGATCACTGATTAAAAAAACCTTCTGAAGTTACGTAATACTTTGCATTTTCAGGTAACAGCTGACAACACGGGGATAAATTCGCAGTGAGACAGACTTCTGTTCAATTTATAATAATGTATTTGAGCATCCTGTGGCGTTAGCACAATACATCCGTCAATGTAATTTCACACATTATTGAGCTAACCACCGCTAAGTCCATGCTTGTATGTCAATTCTCGACGTTTCGGCCACACAGGGCGATCATCAGGTATTTAAAACGATTTGCATAAATTGTTGCATGGGCTGTACTTACAAAAGTTTATTGTTTATAAAAACCAAAACTGATTCATGTTAAAAATAATCTGACATACAAAATAAATTTAACATAAAAACGACGTAGAGCATAACCCTCACCACATTTGCACCTCTTTTATTTTCGGCGATGTGGATTTTGTAAATGGTAACTTGGTTACATGTGATCAGATGACCAGCGCCAGAACATATGTAACCGTATGTAACCAAGATGTAAATAAAGGGGCTCATCACAATATGGCTCTGTTAATGAAGATAGACTGCTCGAATGGGCATTCAAAATCCTTTGGGGTTGTGTCCCCAGGTATAATCCATACATGTCTTATATAGCTCAGCATACAATTTCACCGTAAGAATATGTTTGTAATCCACAATTTTCAGATATTTACATTTAAATATGAGCTAGTATATTGTCTGTAATTTAATGACATTCAGTTCCACAGAGCTAGTTATGTGCCACATCCATCAGCCACATTACATGCAAATGGTCAAATTAAAACGAGTGAAATGTTGTAAGAATGCGAAAAATAGGGATTTTTATAGGAATTTTCTTGGAAGGCAGATGAGACAATGACATTAATAAAATGGGGTTGTATTGGTGGTACTTGGAACAGGCTGAGGATATTATCCAGTGAAAGCTTGGTTTTAGTGATATTGGACCCTCAGGTTAAGGTATGAATGTTCACAACTAGTAATGTTTATGTATGCTGAACTTTGCTAAATATCTCATGCTGGCATTTTGAGTAATATGAGCTTATGCCAAGTGGTATCAGTTACTGAGTTACTTTTCAACAGCTCAGTGTAAAACTTTGTGTAATAACCAGGGACCGGATTTTAATGCAAATGCATATTTCCTTCTTGCAACCAGAAAGTATGCTCGTTTGGATATATGTACGAATTACTTCATTTCTTAAATTTTGGACATGATTTGATGGTGCATATAAATGCATATTTTGCATGTTTTATGAATAAGCATCATATTTTCGAAGATCTCTCTTTATACTGCATGTTTCCCTTTTAAAATGTTTATCATATATATTTTTTAATTTTATATTTTCAATTATGGTCATGTGTAATAAGCATAATATTTTCGAAGATCTCTCTTTATACTGCATATTTCCCTTTTAAAATGTTTATCATATATATTTTTTAATTTTATATTTTCAATTATGGTCATGTGTATACAATTTTTCTTTTCCGTATTAGAATATGTTGCATATTTGACTCAACATTTCGTCATGAGT